GCCGCTGCAGCGCCTGCGCCAGCAGCGGGACGGTGACCACAGCCCCCATGCAGGCCAAGTGTGCGACGAGCTGCTCAAAGCCCGAGAGCTGTCCCAGCAGCTGCGGTGCCAGCCCCAGCTCCAGCGCCACATGGCTGAAGTTCTTCACACCGTTCAAGGCAGGATCCAACAGGAAGGCGAGTGACTGCACCAAGGAATGGGGCAGCTCTGCTATCGGGAGACCTGGGGGCAGCAACACAGCAAAGCAGGGTTAGAACCCATCCTACCCAGACAGGATCAGGGCAAACAGCAGCCAGACCAGCCCCAGCCCCTGCCAAGCAGGTGAAGTGACACCCTGCCAGTGCAGGTATCTCCTCCAACATCACTTTCAGAGCTTAGCAACATGGAGCTGGCTCAGTCCTGGGGACACTGGAAACTGGTGACAACTGAGTGTCCATCCACCACTCACACAAGGCAGCATCACAGAAAATGCACCCTGTGAACCAGCACCAAAGGCCACAGGAGTTTGGTAAGTCCCTGTGATGCCTGGCACCTCTGTGCAGCCATGCTGGGCTTCTGGAGGAGCTCCCTTCCAAGAACCTGCCTCTCTGATATCCCAGTCGTTGGACAACAAACGTGAGGCTGGAAGGCCACTTACCCTTGGCTCTGCTGCTGATCTGAGTCACCAGGCTCTGGGCATCATCCACCTGGTGAGACAAAGACCCCAAAGTTGGTGGCAGTTTGCTGAGAACAGCAAAGCCAGGCACTGCTCCCAGGGCCATCACAGGGGCGCAGGGAGTGGTTCTTCTCCAGCCCTGCCACCCTGTGCAGTTCAGAGGAGCAGTGAGCCTGGAGGAACTTACCAACTGTGCCCCAGGTGGGACTTCAGCAGTGGGATTTGAGAAGGCAGGGGGCAGATGGCAGGGCCCCTCCTGCCTGGCACCACCACCCTCTGCCGGGATTCTCTTTACCACCCGACTCGCTTCATCCTCCGGCCGCTCGCTGCCGACAAACTCTGCCTGGCTGGAGAACTTCTGCAGGTCCAGCTCGGTGCACTCCACGGGTGCGTGCGGCCACTTGTGCCGCATCTCGGAGGCGCAGGAGGAGAGGGCAGCCAGGGCCTCGGCCGTGCCCTGCCTGGGCCCGGAGGGTGGCAGGACCCCGGCCAGGCAGTCTGCATGGCCCGG